ACTCTGGCTGTAAGTTCATAACTTCAGAGAACAAACCACTTATGTTTTGCACATATGCCACACAGTGCACTCGAAGAGCTTAGGCTTCCTTCATCCTACAGCAACTGTAAGAACGAGTATCTCAAATTAGCAACAGCTTCAGCAGTTGAGCTGAAGTGCTTTTAACTCAAATTAACTAGGAACACTTGCTTTGCTACTAAAATGTATTCAAAGAGTGGTCACAAAAGGAAAATGTTAGCCATCCAGCAGTTTTCCTGGAACTTCTTACTATTAATTTAAAAAGGTAGTTTTTGTTGATGGATAAATAATTATATTCATATGAATCAGGTGTTCCAGCTAAGGTAATCTAACTTAATGGATTTGTGCTTCTTCATCTCCAGGTCCTTAGGCTCGGTCTTCCCACACTGAGGGTGGGCTTGCCCTGGTAACTCCTGTTGCCCATAAGACATTGGCAATTCCCACAGTGTAAGTATTGCCTAAGAGCTTGCATATTGTGTCATATAAAGCTGCTGAAGCACAAATTTTATTTTTGCTAATCTATACTGAGATGACCTGGAAAAAAAATTAATCATGAGATACAAAACCTACTTCCCCAAAATGTATGTCATAGCCTTGGGGCTGCAGATTCAGGCTCATGACTATTTAGTGACTTGAAATAATATAAAGAAAACCATATGGTTTTAATATATAGCTCATGTTATTGGGTTATATAACTACCATATTAATGTTATCTTAGAAGTTATTGCTTTTGCTTGTTTGTTTGTTTTGGGGTTTTTTGAGATAGGGTCTCCCTAGAGCTGTAGTTGGCCTGGAACTCACTATGTAGAGCAGGCTGGCCTCAGTCTCACAGAGATCCAGTTATTACACATTTTCAAAAGCAAGAAGAATTCTCAATAAGTAGTAATAAAAATTCGACAGGAAAAATAAAGAGAAATTTCTTTGTGTCTTTTTTGTTGTTATTTTATTTATTTATTTATTTTTGTTTGGGGAAGATTTTGCTTTGTTTTGTTTCTATTGGATTTGGGGTTTGTTTTTTGGGTGTTTCGTCTTATTTATTTACGACAGAGTCTCACTGTGTAGCCAAGGCTGGCCTCAGATGCACATCCATCCTCCTTCTTGTAGCCTTCTGAGGGCTGGTATGAGACACCATGCTCAACTGAAAAATGATCTTTTAATTGTAAAGTATTTAAAATTAAAACTATGAAAAAAACATGGGAAATTGTCAGTATAAATTAAGTACATGTTACATTTATCACACACTATCAGATGGGTATATATTTAGGGAAGTATAACTTTCTGTATACACATAAAATTTTAAAAAATTAAAATCAGCTAAAAATCATATATTATATAAATAAATCATATATCATATATGTATATCAAAATATATATAAATCATGTATTTAAAAGGGCTCAGGTCAGGCTAGATTTAGATGAAATCAGCACTGGGGTTTTCAACAAATGTATTTACTGCATAAGCCTGTGGTGTTTGAGGAAGGTAACCTCAAAACTGTCTCAGTAGCCTGAGGAAAAGAAGGTCAGGGCTGCCCTTTTCCTTATAAAAAATTACGTGCTTTATCGTTGGCATAAGAGAGCTTTTTTATTTGACTCTTGCCAACAGTTGTTTCAGTGTGAGCCAATTTTAAAAGAGATGTAACGGATTTAAATCAAACCCACTGAAATAAGCCTGGTTTTGCTTGGCATACTTTTTAAAACTTGGGGTAAAAGATAAAAATGACAGATAAAAAATAAAAATGACAGACACAGAGAAAACAGCCATGTAACACAGGAACATATCTTTTAATCTGCCCCTGTGGAGAACAGGTGAGCTACATTTTCCAAGATATCTTCTATGATATACAACTGTGTATTTTCCTTTGTCTTATATCATCTATCTAGTCAACAACAAAAAAAGTATTTTCCTAAAAACCTTAAGAAAGCCCAGGGAAGAGGGTGCAAAGAAAAACAATAGGCCATGAGATTCTGAAATGAGTTAGGAGAGTACACTGTGTTAACTGAAATCCATGGAATGCCTGAGTAGCTGTCCCAGACCACTGGGTCACAGTACTGCTACACTTAACTAAGTCTCCAGATGCTGCTCTACCACTACGAAACCTAGTAACTGCTCTTACTAACAATGATCATCAAACAGCCACAAACAAAATCATCTTTGGGTCCTTTGCGTTGAGGAAAAAAAAAAAAAAACTTTTTGCAAAGTTTTCATTTAAAACCAGCTAAGGGCTGGAGAGATGACTCAGTGTTAGCTAAGAGCACTGCCTGTTCTTGCAGAGGACCTAGGATTCCCAGCACCCACATGGTGGCTAACAACCATCTGTAAATCTGGTTCCGGGGATCTGACACCCTCTGACCTCTGCAGGCACTGCATGCACTATGCAGGGAAAACACTCATACACATAAAAAAATTAAAAGAAAAACCCAAAAGAATCCAGCTAAATATCAGGGCTGTAGAGATGGCTCAGCTGTTAAGAGCACTTGCTGATCTTCCAGAGGACCCAGGTTCAGTTACCAGCACACATATCAGGCAGCTCACAACCACCTGTAACTCTGGCTTCAAAGAATCCAGCATACTCTTCTGGCCTCTGTGGGCACTGCACACATCTGGGGCACAAATATACACTCAGGCACAAACAAATACACAGAAAATTTTAAAAAATTAAAATCAGCTAAAAATCATATTATATAAATAAATCATATATCATATATGTATATCAAAATAACATATAAATCATGTATTTTAAAGGGCTCACTTTAGTTTTGGTTTCTAGGACATTTTGGTCAGAACTTCTATTCATGATAATTTAGGTTGTGTGGTATTTTACATTTTAAAAATTCCATTCTTTATTTATATTTTTTGTACATCAGTGCTTTGCCTGCATGCATATAAAGGTACCACGTGTGTGCAATGCCTACAGAGGCCAGAAGAGGATGTCAGATCATCTGGAACTAGATTTGCCAATGGTTGTTAGGAAGTGCTCTTAACTGATGAAGCCATCTTTCCAGCCCCTTAAATTCTATTTTAACTTAGACCTTTCAGCAATTCTGAAATATAATAAATTTTACTGACTTAATTAAACCAAACTCCAGCATTATTAAATACTGCAACACACTGCAATTGGACTCAAGTCTGGAATGTCAGATACCATGCTTTAATCTGACCTTGATTTCAGCTACTGGGGAGATACTAGAGTTCCTTGAGACGTCCCAAGTTAGACATCTAAGGTTTTGAATTGCTTCCGTGCAAAGATGTCATGTAGGAGTGCAACTTCAAGTCAGTGAGTGTCCCAGATGGCTGCTCACAACTCACATGTTAGAAGTTAGACTTGAGTGGTGTAGCTGGGAGAAGGAAGTCCTATGGACAGCCCAAGTTGTTTCCTGTTGTACAGTCAAAGGCCAGGCTTTACAAGCTGGGGCTGTAAAGCATGCAAGCAGGAAGTACTCTAAAGTAGGAAAACAGCCATGGCCAATACAAGAGGCCTGACTGTGGATGAGTGCCAATCAAACTTTGTGTTTGGGGCCAGGCTGCATGCACCCTGTCACCTGTCACCTGCGTTGTCACCTGGGCAGCAAACAGCGCCACCTGGGGGGTGGGGGCGTCCCGGCGCGGTCAGGGGTCACACCCTAGCGAGGCCTCCCTGTAGCACATCCCCGGGGACCCTGGGCTGAGCGGGCCGAGGACAGGACTGACACCGTGGGCAGTGGGTCGCGCCGCCGGGCCCGTCACTCACTCGGATAGGCCAGCAGGGACAGAGGCCATAGCCACAGCACAACGAGGACCACAGGCTTCATGGGCGCTGTCTGTAGCACTCCGCCATGCCACGGGAACGTCCTGGGGCCACCAGGCCGGGGTACCTCAGGGCCCCGGCGCCCCGCAACCGTCGTCCCCAGTGTGTGGGTGGCACCACACTGAGACGACAAGGTGGTCGCGTGCGCGGAGCGCATGCGCACTGGGGCTCCACAGGAATTAAAGGGCTCAATGGTGATCTGCAACAGCAGGGACTTAGGGTTAAAAGCTGGCATGTTGGGGACACTGCCCTGGTGCAAACAGCCCTTGCTCGGAAGAAGGGGTCTGATGAAAGAGACAACCTGGTAATTACGCAAAACTAATTGTGATGGGGACAGCCCCAAGAGCTCCAGTTCACTCCAGGAGGGATGGGAGTGAGGGGCCAAGTGCAGGAGGGGGTGGAGCGCCCCAAGACAGTTCAGGTTAGTGGCATGACGTAGGCATTGGTTTTGGAGATGAGTGGAAGCAGTCGGTAAAGATATTAAAGACACCTTAAGGGACTTGGGCTGTCATTTTGCTTTATAAAGATTACATACATCCCATTTCTTTGACTATTTTTTGTTTCATTTTTTAAGAATTTCATACATGAGTATTCTATCTGAATTCTTTCCATCTCTCCCAGTTCCCCTTCAGTTCCTCCCATGCCCATCCCCCACAGTCCCTCTCAATTTATTGTCCTCTTCTTTGTTTTGTTTGTTGTTTGTTTTTTGAGACAGGGTCTTCCCGTAGCCCTGGTTGTCCTGGAACTCACTATGTAGACCAGGTTGGCCTCGGTCTCACAGAGATCCACCTGCCTCTGCCTCTCCAGTGCTGGGATTAAAGGAGTGCACCACTATGCCCGTCTCTCTTCTTTATTATTGTTACATGTACATACATACATTTATAAACACACACACACACACACACACAATGTGCTAAGTCCATTTAATGGTGCTCCTGTGTGCAGGGATGCCTACTTGGAATTAGATAATTTCTCAGGGAGCTAGTCCCTGAAGAAAGCTGATTCTCCCTCCCTCCCTCAGCAGCCATTGATTGCCTGTAGCTCTTCATCTTGAGGTGGAACTCCTATGAAATTACCCCTATCTACCTTCGATGTCAACTGTCATTATGCAGATCTTGTTAGACTCCCACACTGTGGAGAGTTCATTGGTGCAGCTTCCCTGCCACGTCTAGAATGAATTAAGCAGCCGCAGATGCCTTATCCTCTGGCTCTGAGTTTCCCACCCCCTCTTCCATGATGTTCCCTGAGCCTTAGGTGTAGATGTATCACTTAGGGCTGGGCACCTTACAGTCACTTATTCTCTATATTTTGACCAGTTGTGGAACTTTGTAATAGTCTCCATCTGTTTCAAAAAGCAGCTTTTTTGATGCATGATATCCTGGTGCACTTGTCTGTAAATATAAAGATACAGATTTAGAATATAGTAAGAAATTATGTTAGTCTAGGAAACTGACAGAAGTAGGTTTTTCTCTAGGGTCTGTGGCCTCTCCAGCCATGTGTACTTGGTTATGTTTATAGTACCATGCATGAATTCCCTCCTATTGACTGGGCCTTAAGTCCAATTAGACGATTGTTGATTACCCCCAAGATAAAAGTGCCACTATTGCACAAATAGGGATAATTTACTGGTCTGGTCATTGTTGTGGTGAATAGGTTTTACAGATGGGTAGGGCCACAGATCACTGATTTTCTCCCTTGGTAGCTTGATAGTATCTTCTGACACTATGGAGTCTTCAGTGAGGAGGCTTCCAGGTCAGTTTCAGCTCAATTGCTCCAAGTGCTGAGTCTTCAGTGATAGAGTCTTGCCTTCAAGTTCTGGGAAGCAATGAAGGGCTGTGGCAATAACATTATTTGGGGAGTCTCTTGAACTACGCTGACCAACAACTTGCAGGGAGGTTTCCTTTGCCTGGCACTGTGATTCTTTGATGGTTTTGAAAAAGCAGAGTTAGAGATGGAGGAGGATGTGACTCTAGATGGATAGTGTGAGGGAGTAATCTTCTGCATCCTAGACTGACCTGGAACTTGCTATGTAGCCAAGGGTGAGCTTGAAGGAATGATACTTCTTCTGCCTTTCAAATACCGGGATTCTAGGCATAGGCCAACATGTGTAGTTTATGAGGTGCTGGGGATTGAACCCAGGTCTTCATCCAAGTTAAGGACTCTTCTGAGGTATATTCCCAACCTCAGTAAAAGAGCTTTTTGGATTAACAGTAAGGGTACTACAATAATCTATATATGTATCAAAATCTGTACACCAAAACCCCACTTTTTTTCCTGTATGATTAATCTTTAAAATTCACATATACTTGTTTCTGCCTCAGAAGCAAGGGACTCAGATTTTAGTGGGAGATAATATGGAGACACTTCAAGGTTCTGAGCTGAAGACTGTGATTAGATTAACACTGTAGTAAATTCACTCTCCTCGCAGAGTCCAGGATTTGTTGGAGGATTTGTTGGAGGAAGCAAAAGTCAGCACAAGGCTCTGGTTAGGAAACTCTGAGCATACTGATGGGGACCTGGACTCTTAGTGGCAGAAAATAGGAGACTTGTGGACAAATCCAAGAGATATTAAGACGATGCTGGGTATGGTGGCACATGCCTATTATCCCAGAACTTGGGAGGTTTAAATTGGAGAATCAGTTGGAGCCCAGCCTGAGCTGCATGAGGCCTTGTCTCAAAACAGATTAGGGTGTTGTTTGAGTGTGAGAAATGAGAGGACAAGATGATGCCCAAATTTCTGCCAAGGTGAATATTGGGGATTTGATATACTGTTTGCTGAAATGGGGCACTTAGGCAACTATGTAACAATTTCCTCTGAGTTAGAACCTTCCATCTTGGAGGGAAGCTGGGCAAATAATAGGATGTTCTAAAGGAAGGTAAACAATAGGGTGTTCTAAAGGGAGATAGAACAACAGGATTTTTGGGGGGGTCTTTTTGAAACAGGGTCTCCCTGTAGCCCCAGCAGGCCTAGCGACTCACAATGTAGACCAGACTGGCCTTGATCAACACAGAGATCCTCCTGCCGCTGACTCCTGAGTGCTGGGACTAAAGGCGCTAAAGGCCTGTGCCACCACGCCTGGCACAACAGGATGTTTTAAGGGGAGGTGAAACACTCCATCTTGTAGGGAAGCTCATTAAGCTCAGGGAGTAAACAGCTCAATATCTTCAGGAAGTCCCTGAAATTGATATGACACTAGGTCCCTCCCTCCCAACTATATATAAGCCCTAAGACCTGCTGAGAGACACTGTCAGACAAGCTAAGGCACCTGGAAGAAGCAGAGCTGCTAAGCTGCCTGGAGCCGGCTCAGACCCAACTGAGCTGCCTGCATGCTGTGCAATGTGCTCCCGGTTTCCTACTTTCCTGAGGTGTCCACCCACGCTGGGTTGGGCTTTGGTGAAACACCTGTCTTTGAGTCATTTTTGCTCCTGTAAGTAACCCCTCATCCATATTCCTGTAAGTAACCCCAATAAAATTCATTGGTTCATCAAGTTGTATTTTGATGGTATTCTTACTTTGGCCTGTTGTTTGTTCCTTATTTGGGCTGAGTAGACGTTTCTTCATGTCTTACCAGGAACAATGTCACACTATAGGGATGGAAGAAAAGAATGAATTTTGTGTGTTCAACATTGCTGTGGCAAGAAGGACTTGAGACCTCTTACCAGAGTGGCCTGTCTAGTGAGGAAATGAATGTGGGCC